GTCTCTTCCTCCTCATTCACCTGCCCCAATTGTAGAGGTACACGCCGTCCTGCAGTTCCTGTGACTTTAAGAGACCGTAGTGTGAATCTGGATGGTTCTCAGTTCTTGCCTACTGTTGGCTTGCAAAGTAGAGTTTGGTGTTGCTTTAAGTCCTCCAAGTCAGTTACAATGTATATTAGCTTTCCAAATTTTAGGTTTCTTGTTTTCTTTCCTCCCTGTCCTGTGTTTCTATGACCCTTTGTCCCTTTACTATAGCTTAATTCTTTTTCTTGTCTCATGACTCATGTTCCTGAGATAAATTTTATTGGTAAGTGGAGGTGATTATGCCACCCCCTTGCCATAGGACCATGGAAGATGTTGATATTGCTAAATATTTGCATGTTCTGGACTGCAGAGAACTTAAGAGATCTGTGACTTGCAGACATCTGAATGAAAAAAATGTCTTCCTTTTTTCTTCTCTATCATGCTCCTTTAAGAAAATGTGGGTAGCTTGGTTCCTACAAAGTATTCTTAACTTCCAGCTCAGAAAGAGAATGTCTGGTTAGAAAACACTTTTTCAATTTCAGTCTAGTCCTAATTCTCTCCATGCTTCTTTGTAATGTTTGTTTTCCTGCCCATGTTGTCCCTGATTTTTTTTTTTTTTTTTTTGAGTCGGGGTCTGGCTCTGTTGCCCAGGCACAATCAGTCATGGCTCACAGCAACCTCAGCCTCCTGGACTTGAGTGATTCTTTGATCTCAGCCTCTTGAGTAGCTGGGACCACAAGCACATGCCACCATGCTTGGCTAATTCTAATATTTAAAAATTTTTGTAGAGATGGAGGTCTCACTGTGTTGCCCAGGCTGGTATTGAACGCCTGGGCCCAAGCAATCCTCTCACCTCAGCCTCCCAAAATGCTGAGATTACAGGTGTGAGCCACCATGCCTGACCTATTTTTTATTTTTGATGTGTTAAACAAAGCTTTATCACGCCCAGATTACTTTCTGTTATTCATTGTTAACAATTTCAAAGATTACAAACCAGTGTTTAAATATAGCCACTATAATAGTTTACCAAGTATGATTCTAAATCGAGAGAAAAAGATAGAAATAGCTGATGTGATACTCATTGTTTTAGAACATTTTCTACCAGAGGGGTTCTTTTTATTTTTTGAAAGGTATTCATTTGTTCTGATTTTTAAAATAGTAATGCATAATTTTCATAAAAAGTTTGAAAATACAGAAAACTGAAATAATATTCATCTTTATTCATACCAAAAGTAATTACTCTGTGTGTGCCCTTCCAGTCTTCATTAGTAAATATATGAATAAAATATTTCATTAATATTTTTCCATGTTATTCTCCCACAAATCCTTTTCAATTACTGTAAAAACGGTTTGGCCATTTTTGGCAACCTATTTCTCTGTCAAGGGCCAAATAGTATATATAATTTTTGGCTTTGCAGATCATATGGCCTCCATTGAAAGTATTAAATTCTGCTGTTGGAGCAGAAAAGCAGCAATAAATTGTATACAAATGAGCAAGGCTGTATTCCCATTAAACTTTATTTACAAAAAAAAAAAAAAAAGCCGGCTGGGTGCGGTGGCTTACGCCTGTAATCCCAGCACTTTGGGAGGCTGAGGGGGGCGGACATGAGGTCAAGAGATCGAGACCATCCTGGCCAACATGGTGAAACCCATGTCTACTAAAAAAATACAAAAATTAGCTGGGTATGGTGGCGCGTGCCTGTAGTCCCAGCTACTCGGGACGCTGAGGCAGGAGAATGGCTTGAATCCGGGAGGCGGAGATTGCAGTGAGCTGAGATCACACCATTGTGCTCCAGCCTGGCTCCTGGCAACAGAGCGAAACTCTGTCTCAAAAAAAAAAAAAAAAAAAAAAAAAGAAAAAAAAAAACAAACAAAAAATTTTGCCCACTGGCTACATTTTGCTGACGCCTAGATATTATTTTTAAACTTTTTATTTTGATATCGTTTTACAAAAAGTTACAAAATAGCACAGAGAGATGCTGGATGTCCTTTACTCAGTTTTCTCCAAGTTACATCTTAAATAACTGCAGTACAATGTCAAAACCAGGAAACTGACATTAGTACAATGTGTGTTCACAGTCTGTACCATTTGATGACGTGTTACCACAATGGAGATACGTAACTATTGCATCACACAGATATCTCCCTCATTCTAAGCCCATATATTCACAGCTACCTTCCACCCCACTCCCAATCATCTTTATCCTTTGACAATCTCTAATCTGTTTCCTATCTCTCTACTTTTGTCATTTTTGAATATGTTGTGCAGATGTGTGACCTTTGAAGATGGGCTTATTTCACCCACCATTGAAATCCATCCGGGTTGTTGCGTGTATCAGTGGTGTTCTTTTTGGCCGGGCACGGTGGCTTTCACCTGCAATCCCAATACTTTGGGAGGCTGAGGTAGGAGGACTACTTGAGTCCGAGAGTTTGAGACCAGCCTGAGCAATATAGTGAAACCTCGTCTCTATAACAAATAAAAAACTAGCTTGTACCAGCTACTCAAGAAGCTGAGGTAGGAAGATTGCTTGAGTTCAGGAGGCAGAAACTATAATGGCCATGATCACCCCACTGCACCCTAGCTTGGGCAAAAAAAAAAAAAAAAAAGTGGTCTTTCTTATTGCTGAGTAGTATTCCAGGCTATAGATATACCACTGTTTGTTTAACCTTTCACCTATTAAAAGGCATTTTGGGAGTTTCAAAGGTTCTTTTAAGGTTCTAGCAATCACATATTCCATGTGATTCAGTTTATAGAAACACTGCAGACCTCATTGATCTCCATGTTTGATGCAGCTGGCTAGGTAGGTGTTCCTTTCGTTCCTTATAGTCAAGCTTCTGAGTTGAATGTGGTTCAGAATGTGGTGGTCCATTTGTATCCAAGTATTGAATTGAATCGTATCATTTGTATCTGTCAGTATTTTAAACTCATGGAACTCACTGATTTCAACCAAAGGTCATTGATCCTCTAGGGACTTCTAGTTGCTTTGCAGGTGAGTACCAACATATCTCTAGTTGTGGTGATGGTTGAATTAATAGTCTTAATACTTGGAAAGAGAAAGACCCAAATTCAAGTCTCAGTATTACCACTTACTACCTCCAGTCTTAGAGAGGTTACCTACTTGAGCCTACTTTATCTCATTTGTAAAATACAAATAGTACTAACCCTGTCTCCTAGGGTTACTGTGAGGATCACATGAGATCACATAGGAAAACACACAAATGTTATTGTCATATTAATAAAAATAGATTACCCTTCACTAGTGTTTTAGAGCAGCAGCAGTTTTATAATCAAGATGAGTAGTTTCAGGTTGTAGTACCCTTGGGTAAAAATATGTATACATATTTTATATATATATATTTAGATTTAGATGCAGTTTTACAAACTGTGACAAAAGAACACAAAAGAACAGGGAAGGCAAGAGGTATTTCTGTGTGCTGTGATGGATGGCCTGTGTTGAAAACACAATACCAATTAGCAGATATGAGAAGAAATCATTTAAATCAACAATGTCTGTAGCAGGCTGCCCATCTGCTTCCTGTTAACTAGCCCTTCCTTTTTCAAACTGTCTTCCTTCGGTTTCCATGACCCTGTTCTCTCCTGTTTCTCCTCCTGGCTTATCATCATCATTTTCTTGGCCCTTAAATATAAGTTTCCCTAAGGATCATCTCTGTACTTCTCTTTCCATGACTGCTTCCCTGGCAGTATCACGCCTTTACTTCATTCCTCAAAGCCTACATCTGTGTCTCTAACCCTGAACTCCCTCATTTCCATCCTGCTGGCTGGACAACTCTATGTCAACTCAGTATTTCCAAGGCTGAAGTCATTTTTTCTTCCTAAGATGGCCCTTCTTTTCAAGTTTGCTGTTTCTATCTCACAGCCCCAGCATCTTCTCATCCCTCTGCCTCTAAACGTAGAATAGTCCTCAAGCATTCTTCTTCCTTTGCCACCTCCTACCTGCCACAAATCTAATCATGTTGTTGACTCTGACACAGAATCTCCAATCTCCTCTTTCCTTTCCATTTCAGGTCTGCACCTTCAGCTTTTTTTGTGGGTGTGGGGGAGACAAACTCTTGCTCTGTCTCCCAGGCTGGAGTGCAGTGTTATAATCATGGCTCACTCTGCCTCCTGGGCTCATGTGGTCCTCCCACCTCAGCCTCACGAATAGCTGGGACCACAGGCATGAGCCACCATGTCCAACTAATTTTTTATTTTGTGTAGAGACACAATCTCCCTATGTTGCCCAAGCTGGTCTCGAATTCCTAGGCTTAAGCAGTCCTTCTGTTTCGGCTCCTCCATAGTATTGAGATTACAGGCATGAGCCACCATGCCTGGCCCACCTGTAGCTTTTTCACTAAACTCCACTCTTCTCCCACTATACCCACAGCCCATTCACCCTGCCTCACCTTTGTCACATCCATTTTCCATGGCTCTTTTTAGGTTCTTCCAATTTAATGTTCTGTGTTGCTTTCCTTTCATGTAAAGCCCAGATGATTGGTCTAATATAAAATCTGTGCTCGTACCTCAAACTGCTTTTTTTCTTAACCTAAGACGTCATAACTTTGATAAAAGTGCTTTTTAAATATTTACATACTCCTGATGAACCGAAAGGAAGTAATATAAAAAAGCTTTTTTTCCAGAATTTCATAATATTTTGCTTTTCTCATGATAGTTTTCTATGTCATTAATTATCTGCATACTTTTTTCTATGCTGGTCCCATGTATGATTTCTCCTAATATTTCCACAGAATTGCATATGGCCAATATCTACTTATTGAATGAATGATTGTTCCTATGTTAGAAACTCAATTCTTGCTTGACCCATGCATTCAACCAGCATTTATTGAGTACCTTATTATGGGTCAAGTACTTGGAGGCATTGGGGATAAAATAGGCACAGTCTCGGCCTACACAGAACTTACATTATAGTAGGAATCCTAAAGATGTTACCACTGGATTATTTATGACTGACCTTAGGTATTCTCAAGCAAAGTTATCAGGTACTTCATTTAAGAGTGTATTAAAAATTAAATCAAATAATTATATTCTGATTGCCTGAAGGATACGGAATTTACTTGTTTAGTGAAGTGAGAAGTTTATATCAGAAAAGGAAAACACAGGTAAGTTTACACAGGGGCTTCCCAAGGGGAAGAAGCAGTTGGTGGGGAGGTAAAAGAGAGTGAGGATATCAAGCTATTGAGGTCACCTCCAGTCAGTCATTTCTTCTCGGCCAGGCAATTCCATGAAACTAACATAATGTGCTCTTGAATTTTACACAGATGGCAATCAGGAGTTATTTCCCTGTGAAGTCTGTGGAAGACGCTTTGCAGCAGATGTTCTGGTAAACATAAAGACATTTTGTAGATGTGTTTCATTGGACTTAAATGAACTGTCAAGTCAGTGAGGAGGCGGCAGTGCAAAGATTAAAGACAGATGTGGAGGAGAAGCCAGGGAAGAGGAAAAGTATATAACCTATGGCTGGTGGGCCCAGAGAACACTGAGGCAGATTGATGCTGCCTCATTCAAAAGCGACCCTGTTAAACATGGTCCTCCTGAAATGATGCCAGATGGAAGTATCTTGGCATCGTCAATGATCCCTTGAGAGGTTTTGGCTCTTCCGCCTTTTCTTTAAGCATCAAAAATTCAAATTTCAAGGCCAAAGCACCAGGGAAATTAGCTAGTCAATAGGAATGAGCATTGAATTTCGGACATCTGGAAACTTGGCTTTTAGCCGCAAATTTGTCACTAATCCTGACAAGTCCTTTAACCTTCCTGTTTTCTGCTTTGCCACGTATACAGAACCTTCTAATTTCAGGGTTTTTATACCAGTTGAACAAAATGATACATGGATATGAGGGCTGTTCCAAGATCTAATTGTCCAGATTCAAGCTAACTACATGTCAAGTCCCTTGATTGATGGCTATGAAGTTGAATAAAAGCTTGATTTGTTTCAAAATTAGGGAATCAAATAGGTGGTATGCCCCAATAATATACAGGGGTCCCCAAGAAAGATGGTTTTTTCAGAAAGAAAATCTAAGAGGGTAATTCAGCTGTCAGTCAGGACATTTTAGATCAAGGAGACATATGGAACTTAAAGGATGTGGACTGGAAGCCTGACTACATTTCGGAAAAAGACTATAAAATGAGGTTGGAGGTTTTATTTTTCTGGGGAATTTAAAAAATGAAACAGCTGTCTTTTAGTTAACTGTGGTTAGAGCTTCCTGAAACTGGAGGGAGAGCTTGCAGAGCTGGTTGTGGCCCTGTAGCCCACCAGTGTGTGTCATTGGTTTTGCCAGCCTGGAGCTGCACCCCCTGACAATCAGTTTGAGAACTGAGAGCTTCCGTTTGCAGAGGGATCTCTAAATGTCAAGTCCCTCTTGGACACTTTTGAGTTTCATTCCTAATCCTATTTCTAGGGTATTGATCAAATGATTTGATCTTTCTCTCTTTTTTAGTTTAAAATCGGATGGCTTGTTCTTAGCCAGGTGCAATGATTTTCACAGAGCTTGTATTTTGCGGGGGTCTAACAAAGCTACTGTGTCAATGGCAGCTATTACATGTCACATATCCATCAAGGGAGAGGGCAAAGGTCCCATAGTGGCACAATAGCACATTTCATACAGGTGGTGCACAGGCAAAGCTCTGCATGTTAGCTCCTCAGTTTTTGTATCAGAAATGTTGATGCTTAAAGGACTACTGGTTGGAGTAAACAGCATACTGTCCACATTTGAGTTAAATATATAAACCCAAATGTGAAGTAAGTCTCTTTAACTATAAAGGCATTTTACTGTCTGTGCTCAAACACAGTATCTAGTTATATGTAACACAAATGAGAAGAGCAGATGGATTTGCTCTGCTGTGATCTGTTAGAGAATGAACTAGGTTCTGAGGAGCAACGCAGTCCCGTAGTGGAGGCTGTCTAGGTACACCTAGTGTTAAAAACTGTGATTGTGCACTTAAAAAATTCCAATCCCCACCCTTTGTTTTCTAGAAAAGGCATGGACCAATATGTAAAAAACTCTTCAACAAAAAGCGTAAACCTTTCAATTCTTTGAAGCAAAGATTACAGGGCACTGACATTCCTATTGTGAAGAAGACTCCACAATCTAAGGTACTCCTGATATCTTCTTTATTGTTTGTTATTACATTCTGTGGTACTCTGAGGCCTATTTCTGGGTTTTCTGGTTTCATTTTTGCTTGCTAATGCCATAATGTAATGTAACTATAATCCACCTTTACTGTTTTCTTTATGATCTTGCTCACTTAGATTTTCAAATATATTTCAGATATTTTCCAGATATAGCAAAAAATAATCTTGTTCATGTTTTCAGTAGAGTGGCTCTAAATCTAGCAATTAACTTGAGAAGAAAGTCACTTTTAACCTTACATTTGTCTTTCTTTAAAGTTTTATAGTTTCTTTATTTTTCTGATTTTTCTTTTGTGTTTTCCCTCACTGTTGGAGCTTGCAAATTATATTACTGTATTTTCCAAACCTCTTTTAGTAGTGCTTTTGAGAATCAAACTCTTCTTTTCTCCAATTTTCACAGTCCTGTTCCCTCTGAATTCAAATTCCAACTTTAAAAAAAAAAAATTGTATTGGAGAGGTATATAGTCTAGGGTATTATTTGTTGGTTTTATTTTTTGCAGTCTCCACCTGTGAGGAAGTCTAACTGGAGACAACAACACGAAGACTTTATTAATGCGATCCGATCAGCAAAGCAGTGTATGCTAGCCATTAAAGAAGGCCGACCCCTCCCACCTCCACCTCCTCCATCCTTGAACCCAGGTGTGTGGACATTTTGGGTTGCTTTTGAGGCTGTGCTTGACTTTTGACCAAATCATCATGCCCTATATGTACTCTGAAATTGGCAATAACAATTATATAGAAGTAATTTTATTAATTATATAAAAGTAAACATCCTATTTTTTTTTTTATTCTACATAAAGATTCTGTGTTTCTTCCTAACTCTGTCTCAATGTGAGAACACCATGGTAGTTACGCTGTAGTATTACCTAACTGCAAGGGACACCATACACCTCATAGCTGATGCACATGGAGCTATGCAGAGCAATCCAAACAATTCTGCAAAAGCCCCATTGTGTTAGATACCCACAGCTCTTTTTTTTTTTTTTTTTTTTTCCATGTAAAATTCCCAAAACAGGAAATTTGGCATTTTAACCATTTGAAGCTGTACAATTTAGTGGCTCACAGTTTTTTTACTGAAAACCATTTTATTTTGAAAATTTAAAAATCTGCAGAAAGAGGAAGGAATAGTACAGATGCCCTCCCCTGAAATTTGGCAATTGTTGATATTGTTGCCATAATTTCTCTCTCTCTTCTTTTCTTTGGCAGATCCATTTAAAAGTCAGTTCTAAGCATCATTAGTGCTTTATCTTTAGCCATTTTAGTATGCATCTCTTCAGTATCAGTTCATTTTCCTACATAATCACAATACTATTATCACACCTGATATATATTAATGTTTTCCAATTACCTTAAGAATATTTTTTAAAGCTTTCTTTTCACCCATATTCAGCCACAGTCCAGGCTCCAATCACAGTATACGTATTGCCTTTTGCTGTCTCTTCAGTCTTTATTAAATCTTGAACAATACTCCTACCAGGCTATTTATCTTTTAGAATGTCTCATGTTCTGTATTTCTCTACTTACTTAATCGTATTGTTTAACTTTTTCCTCTATCTCATCTTTCTGTAAGCTGGTAGTTAAGGCTAGAAGCTCAATGAGATTAAAATAACTATTAATATAAGATCATTAATATATCAACAGTAATCTTATCAGAAACAATATATGATTTGCAAATATTTTCTCCAATTCTGTGGACTGTTTTTTCTCTATCTTGATAATGGCCTTTAATATACAAAAGTTTTTAATTGTGATTATGTCCAGTGTATCTGTTTTTTCTTTTGTTGCCTGTGCTTTTGATGACATATCCAGAAATTAATCACCAAATCTACATTGTGAAGCTTCCCCATGTGTTCTCTTTTAGTTTTAGCTCTTATGTTTAGATTTTTCAAATCAGTTTTGAGTTAATTTTTGTGTGTAATATAAGTTTCCAACATCATTTTTTGCATGTGGATAGCCAGTTATCTCAGCACCATTTGTTAAAAAGACTTTCCTTTCTCCACTGAATAATCTTGCCATCATTATCAAAAGTTACTTGACCATATGTTTGAGGATTTATTTCTGGGCTCTCTGTTCTATTCCATCGATCTCTATGGCTGTCTTTATGCCAGTACTAAGTTGCTTTGATTACTGAAGCATTCTAGTAACTTTTGACATCAGTTTGAGTCCTGCAAGATACAGTCAAGATTGTTTTGGCTGTTTTGGGACCTTTGGGATTCCATATGAATTTTAGGACTTTTGTGCTATTTATGTAAAAATATTATATTGAGATTTTTGTTAGGGATTGCATTGAATCTATAGAATGTTTTAGGAAGTATTGTTATCTTAATAATATTAAGTTTTCCAATCCATGAACATGGGATGTCTCTCTATTACTTACATCTTTTATTTCTTTTAGCAAAATATTGTAGTTTTCAATGTAAAAGTCTTTCTCCTCATTGGTTAAATTTATTTCTAAGTATTTTATTCATTTTAGCATTATTATAAATGGAATTGTTAACTTTCTTCTCATATTATTCATTTTTAGTGTATAAAAATGTAACATCTTTGTATGTTGACTTTGTATCCTATAACTCGTGCTGAATTCATTTATAATATTATTTCTGATAGTTTTTTTGTGGAATTTATAGGATTTTCTACAATAAGATTATGTCATCTGAAACAGAGATAATTTTACTTCTCCCTTCCCAATTAATAGGTCTTGTATTTATTTTTCATGCCTAAATAACTTTTAGTACTATATTGAATAGGAGTGGCAAAAGTAGACATCCTTGTCTTGTGTTTTCCATTAAGAATTATATCAGCTATGGGTTACATGTTACTTTTTAAAGCATAAATAACAGCATATAGTGGGTATTATAACATGGAAGTGAAATATATGAAAACATTAGCACAAGGTTGAGTAAGGAAAATGGACATATACCGCAATGGTCTTACATTATATGTGAATAAGTATAGTGTCATTTAAAGGTAGACAATTGTATGGTAAAGATACCTATTGTAAACTCTAGTAACCACTAAATAAAATGTGATATAACTAATAAGACAATACATGGAGTAGAGATAAAAATGTAAAAAAAATTCAATCCAAAGGAGGAAAAAGGAACAAATAAGAGGTGGGATAAAGACAAATAACAAGATTGTAGACTTAAACCTAACCATATGCATAATTGTATATTAATGGCCTACACACTCCATATAAAAGACAGAAATAGCCGGGCGCGGTGGCTCAAGCCTGTAGTCCCAGCACTTTGGGAGGCCGAGGCGGGTGGATCACAAGGTCAAGAGATCGAGACCATCCTGGTCAACATGGTGAAACCCCGTCTCTACTAAAAATACAAAAAATTAGCTGGGCATGGTGGTGCGTACCTGTAATCCCAGCTACTCAGGAGGCTGAGGCAGGAGAATTGCCTGAACCCAGGAGGCGGAGGTTGCGGTGAGCCGAGATCGCGCCATTGCACTCCAGCCTGGGTAACATGAGTGAAACTCCGTCTCAAAAAAAAAAAAAAAAAAAAAAAGACAGAAATTGTCAAACTGAATAATAAAGCAAGACCCAACTATAAGTCTTCCATAAGAAAAACATGTTCGTATAAAGCACAAATAAGTAAGAGCATGGGAAAAGATATACACGCAGACAATTATCATAAAGCTAGAATGACTATATTAATATAGCACAAACTAAACTGTGGAGCAAGTATTAACAGATGATGATTCCAAAGATAAGTACATCAAGAGGACCTATCAGTCCTAAATGTTTATGTACCTAGTAGCAGAGCTTCTAAGAATACGAAACAAAAACTGACAAAGCTGAAAGGAGAAGCAGAGAAACTCACAATTATATTTGGAGATTTTATCACTCCTCTCTTAGTAACTGATAGAATATACAGCAGGAAAATCAGTACAGATATAGAAAAGTTTAACAACAGTAACCAATTAGACCTAATTGACATTTATACTTATCCTATGACACATACCCACAGCAGAAGACACAATGTTTTCAAGTATACATGGAATAGTCACCCAAGAGAGACTATATACAGGACCACAAAGCAGGTCTCAAATTTAGAAGTGAAATCATACATAATATGTTATCTGGACGGAAGAGAATTAAATTAGAAATGTATGACAAAAATATATCTGGAAAATTTCTGAATATTTGGAAATCAACAAGTCATTTCTAAATAACCCATAGATCTAAGAAGAAATCACAAGAGAAATTACAAAATATTTTTAACAGAATGATAGTGAAAACATCTAACTTTGTGGGTTTCAGCTCAATTCATCCCTAGAGGGAATTTTATAGCTTTAAATGTTTACATTAGAAAAGGTTTAGTTCAATTATCTGTATACTAGGCATAAACAATTAAAAAATGAAATTTAAGGCTGGGCACAGTGGCTAATGCCTGTAATCCCAGCACTTTGGGAGGCTAAGGTGGGTGGATCAGGAATTCAGGAGTTCAAAACCAGCTTGGCCAAGATGGTGAAACCCTGTCTCTACTCAAGACAAAAAAAAAAAAAAAAAATAAAACTAAAAATTAGCTGGGCACTGTGGTGGACACCTGTAATCCCAGCTATTCGGGAGGCGGAGGCAGGGGAATTGCTTGAACCTGGGAGATGGATGTTGCAGTGAGCTGAGATTTACCATTTTTCTGGTTGGGAAGACTCAAGATTCTGTTATGATGTCAATTCTAACCAAATTAACATATGTTCAATGTAATTCTAATAGAAATATGTAGAATTTATTTTTGCTGGGTAGAAAATTGACTACCTGGCTGGGTATGGTGGCTTACGCCTGTAATCCCAGCACTTTGGGAGGCCAAGGCAGGTGAATCACTTGAGGTCAAGAGTTCAAGACCAGCCTGGTCAACACAGTGAAATATCATCTCTACTAAAAATATAAAAAATTAGCTGGACATGGTGGTGGGCACCAGTAATCCCTGCTACTTGGCAGGCTGAGGCAGGAGAATCACTTGAACCTGGGAGGCGGAGGTTGCAGTGAGCTGAGGTCACGCCATTGCACTCTAGTCTGAGTGACAAGAGCGAAGCTGCATCTCAAAAAAATAAAAAAATAAAAAGAAGAAGGAATTGACTAGCTGATTCAAAACTTTTATGGAAATGGAAAGGATCTGGAATAGGCAAGATAGTTTTTTAAAAAGCACAAAGTTGGAGTATTTACATTACCTGATGTCGATACTTATTATAACATGACAGTGATCGCGACAACTTGGTATTGGTGTATCAATTTAACAGAAAATAGAATCTAGATATAGGCACCCCCATCTGTGGGTAATTGATTTTCTTAAAAGTTGCCAAGGTAATTTACTGGGGGAAAGGCTAGTCTTAGCAACAGATAATAGTGGAACAACTGGATATCCATATGGAAAAGTAAACCTTGATTCTTGTACCATTGTCTTAGTTCATTTGTGTTGCTATAAAGTAACACCTGAGACTGTGTAATTTATAAAGAAAAGAAGTTTATTTGGCTCACAGTTGCAGGTTGTACAAGAAGCATGGCACTGGCATCTGCTTCTCTTGAGGATTTGAGGAAGTCTACAATCAAGATGGAAGGTGAAGGGAAGCAGGCATCACATGTCAAGAAAGAAAGCAAGAGGGAGGGGAAGGAGGTGGGAAGGAGGTGTGAT